TAATATATATAATAAGGTAGTCCTTGACTTACAACAGGGTTCTGTTCCAAAAGACTCCATTGTAAGTCAGTTTGGACAAATGCTGACTTTCTCTTTTTAAAAGTTAGTTTTCTTTATTATTGCTTTTTATTATCAGTCTTCATAAATTCAGTCTTTGGAAATGATACACGATAGGATGAATGTAAAGCTAATGTTCTCTCAGGTAAACTATCACATAATTCACAATAAAACATTTTAAAAAATCCAATCTTTGAACATCTGCAAGTGAACATCTGAGAATGATGTCATCAGCAAATTACACGCTGCAACACTGTATGTAGGGCATATTACTAAGAATAAGATGTAACAAAAAACCACAAAGAGCCAGAAGTTCCAAAATGCAGTCTATCATAGCTCGAATACATCTAAATATGATAACATAGAACAATAAAATGTATTATGTATTATATTGTTTAATGCCATGTTATATAGTATTAGCAAGTATTAGAAAAATGATAAAATGCTAAATGTTGGAGAAATGACCCAAATTGGAGATGACAATGTTGAGGCAAACCTTGTTCTCTGTCTTGGTCACAGGTAAAAATTGTTAAGTGCTATTGAGTCAGTTCTGACTCACAGTGACCCTGGGTAGGGTTTCTGAGGAGTGGTTGGTGAGCTTGACCACTGACCTTGTAGTCCAGCTCGTTAACCTGCAGAACCACATCAGGACTCTGCAACACCACACAGGTAGAAGTATAATCTCCTAGTAATGCATCTAAGTACTTTGTGATACTCTTTTCCCCAGTTTTTTACAAACTTGCTTTAGCCTTTACAGAGCAGTAGTCTTTGGTACTCTCTTCTGTGTCCAACTTTGCTGTTAGTGCTGAGGTGAGATGATGTCTCGTTGTTGTCTTGATTTGCATGTCTCTTCCGTAGAATGAGCATTCTACTAATAACTACAAGGTCAGAGGTTCAAACCCATAAGTCGCTCCTTGGAAACCTTATATAAGGTGACTGAGTCGGGACTGACTCGACAGCATTTAACTACAGTAATGAATGATGAGCGTGAGCATTTCTTCATATGTTTCTTGGCTACCTGGAGGCCTTCTTTGGTAGAGTGTCTGTTCATGTCCTCTGACCACTTTAAAATTGGATTATTTGTCATTTTTTGTTGAGATGTTCATGTTTTCTACAAATTTTAGAGACCAGTTCCTCGTCTGATGTTATACTACATACCGTTAAAGAATAGGAATGGATTTACAAAACACCTCATAACATGGATGAACCTGGAGGACATTCGTGGAGTGAAACT